CACGGAGAAACTGGCGAATCACTCACCCAACCCATCAAAGCTCCCAACCAAAATATCACCTCGCTGGATTTTTCTCCCGATGGGACATTGCTGTGCAACGGCCATTGCCAATGTAACAGTCTGGTGAATCAATGGAACACCAAAACCTGGCAGCTGCAAGGAAGACCAATCGATTGTGGTTTTCTTCCAGTCAACTGCGTACGGTATTCGCCGTCTGGAAAACTTCTTGCCATCGCAACAAACAACAATGTCAAAATTTATAATTCAGGCACAATGAAATACGTCAGAAACCTCATGCATGATCAAGCCAGATGCAATTGGTCACTCGTGTGGACGCCCGATGGCACACGCCTTCTCACAGCAAGTTTTGCCATACGCGAATGGGATACAACAACCTGGCAGCAGGTCGGTGATCCCTGGAGGGGCCACTCTCGCAATATCAATGCTATTGCCATTAATCCTGCTGGCACACTCGTCGCCTCCACATCTGATGACAATCATGTCCGTCTCTGGCGGCTCTCAGATCGACGAACCATTGCCATCTTCAAGCACTTATCCTCGCCGAAATATGTCACTTTCTCCATGGATGGCAAGCACATCCTCAGCGGAGGTAACGATAAGATAATTTCGGAGTGGGCACCTCAGGGTATACATCCAAAGGCACGTTTCCATCCTTGACTTATATACCACAAATCGAGCATGTTTTGTGCAGATCCTAGCGATCACGACAGCCCGCATGGCATGCATAGATGGAGATTTATCTACTGCCGAAGAACTACTCACCCAAGATATCAACACCGACGCGAATAACCATACTTCCTATGCCCATCGCTCATTCGTTATGGCGCGAAAACACAACTGGAACAGTTCCCTTCAGGACGCAATGAAGGTGAGATTCACTGACCCATTGTGGCCCCCTTACGAAAGGCTAACTCGATGGTAACATAGTCCATCAGCATTCAGCCCTCATTGACAGGCTATATCTCCAAGGGCATTTCCCTCTGCGGAAAAGGCCACATTCTGGACGCGAGGGCAGCATTTGATGTTGCATCCATGTACACGGACCAAGATTCAGAAACCACTCATTTCCTGCTCTTGATCAAGGTAGGTTACATTTGTCTCGCACACGCCTCGCTTCATTCCGTGTTTCAGGTCATTGCTCTCTTCAATGCAGATCAACATGACGAGGCAAGCCTGCTCCTCAAAGAACTCACTATTGGTTGTCCGAATGCCGATACTCGCGCATGTCATATTGTGCAAGTAAGTAACATCCACGCTTGGTCATCGACACTCATCTGCAACTCGCACATTAGGCATATCTACGTGTTCAACTGGGAATCAAAGCCTTGGATGGTGCACATCACGACGAAGCCACTGACCACTTCACTACCGCTATCGACTCCGGCACTTTCTCATGGAGATCACCCATTCATTTTATCTACGAGGACTTGGTGGTGGTATGTTGATACACATCCTGCTTTTCATAACTGAGTCCCTAGTCCAGCTCTTTGGCTGGGATCTCAAATCTTTGTGCTTGAGTGCACACCAGAAACGGTGTGATGCACTCCTTTGTGCAGGTAAACTTCAAGTTGCCGTGAAATCATACCGATGCATGATGGACAATATCGACGAAACAACGAAGGCCAGCTGCCTTGAATGGTCCAATGGCAAGTCTGGAGTTCGTAATATCGCGCAGGCTACAATCCTCACCCCCATTTCACTCAGCTTTCACGGAAGAATGCAACGCGCTCTGTCTTACTAGCGGAGATACTGCTCTCGCTGCAAGCGATTATGACATGGCTATTGACTTGTACTCAGCGGCAATCGACCTAACTTCTCTATCCGACGCGGTCTTTGCAAATCGTAGCAAGGCGAAGTTAGGGAAAAGGCTATGGATGGAAGCTCTTCTCGATGCGCAGAAGGTGCGACAGCATTTATTGTTTTTTAACCTATGTTCATTGTGGTGATACACAGGTCATCCAACTCAGCCCTTCGTCTTATGTTGGATACGAGTTGAAGCATGCAGCATTGCATGGTGCGCGATGCTATGATGAAGCTATTGAGGCCTTCCAAACGATGCTCTCAAAATTGGATAATTCTCCCGACGCTGAGACACGAAGTAAGCCCTAGTAACTCATATGTCAACGCGGTTCAACTATTTCTGCAGAGTTGTGCCAGCAGTATATCAGTCCATCCGAAGTGGACCGTACTGTTCGAAAGGTCATTGACACTCAACTCGACAATGCTCCGATACGTATACTTGACACCACCACCGGTCTCTTATGCGATCGAGAGGCGCAGATACGCACCTTTAAAACGAGCATAGAGTACAAGGAGCTTGTATCATCAACAATCACCCATCCAGACTTCGGAATGAAGCGCATCGAAGAAATGGTGATGACTTACTTCCGATATGCCATGCTATCGCACAGGTGGGAAGGCAAGGAGCCGCTGCTGCAGGATATACAGGGCAAGGACGTCTACGGGTTGGATCCGGTTGGCGGCATCACGAAGTTGCAGTCCTTCTGCAAAACTGCTCGTGATTTGGGGTATCACTGGGCATGGAGCGATACATGCTGCATCGACAGGAGCAACGATGCTGAGCTCCAAGTATCGGTCAAGTCCATGTTCATCTGGTATCATCACTCCGCGCTCACAGTCGTATATCTCTCGGATGTTCTACCTTCGTCAAAGCCTGGCGCACTGGCAAAGAGTGCTTGGAATACACGCGGATGGACGGTCCAAGAATTCCTCGCTCCCAACATCATTCTATTTTATCAGAGCGATTGGACTCCTTATCTCAATGATCGCACTCCCAACCACAAGGATTCCGTCGCAATCATGCAGGAGTTGGAGTATGCGACGGGCATAGATCGACGAGCCGTCGTGAACTTCCATCCTGAGATGAGAGGGGCCCGAGAGAAACTTCAGTGGGCGTCGACACGTATTACCACGTTGCAAGAAGATATCGCATACTCGTTATCTGGCATATTTGGTATTCGCCTACGTGTTGATTATGGCGAGAAGAAGCAGAACGCACTCGGCCGGCTCCTGCAGGAAATCGTAGCTCAGTCAGGCGACATTACTGCCTTGGACTGGGTTGGAGAATCATCAGAGTTCAATAGCTGTATACCAGCTGACATAACTTCATACGAAGCTCCACCATGCAAGCTGCCATCACTATCCGAGGATGAGATTCAGTCATTGGTCTCCTCGCTGCGAGTCGTTGTGGCTCTACAGCCGGCTTCACGATTATATCAGATACTTGACTCCTTGAACGCTCCCCGTTTCGCGCACCGCCGGTTGCATCTGCCTTGCATCGTATTCCCGGTCACAGAAGCCAGACGCAGACCAGGTCGAGACCAGGACACACATATGTATGAACTCAAGTCAGACGGACTTCATGACCTGCAGATCACCACGGAAGACAAGTTGATCCCGTTCTCCTCTGCGAGGCCGCCGCCCGCCTGGCAGACGATCTTGCTTGTCCGTCCATGGAGTCGCGATCTCCTTGAGTTGCATGACCCTGCGGACGATGTACAGAGCGTGGAAGATTGGTCTGTGCCTGGAACTCCGTTGCACGATTCACCCCCTGCACAAAACGAGCCGGTTTATTCGGATTGTCACTCGCGAGCATTGCGTTTGATGGTTCGCCTTGGACAGCCTTTTAGTGCATTTTTGCTAGCGCGACAACGCGACGGAGAATTCAAGAGGATGGCGTCGGATCATGATATCATTGCACAGGTTAAAGACATGACTTCTGTTGACAACATGATAGACATCAGGACACTGGAGATACTGTAGCTTAATATAGGGGGTTGTTTGACGGTCTACGAGCGATTTTCGTTTGTACCTTGGTGATCAAACCTGTATAGTACTATCATATGTGCATACACAGATACCGACTTGAGAGCAACTGTCGCTAACTTGATGATTCATCCATGTGAAATCTTAGAAGCGGTGAAGGATGGGATAAGTCAGGCGTCCAGCGTCCTCACCAGATAGAGCGACTTGTGCTGGTTCCAAATCTCTATTGATTGCATCAGAAAGAGTTGATGCACCATATGAAGACGCATCAAGACTGATAATATGGGCACCAACCGTCGTGTTCGATAGATTGAATTTGACGTCGCTTACTTTTTGGCGGCGACAGAACCACAGTTGATAGTAAAGCGGTCTGCAGAAGTATCAGCGACGTTACACACAGATACATACCACTGTTCTGTAAAAGTCTGATGGTTCACAATGACACTCCCCTATTCTACTAGTAGCCTAGAGAGCGTCCACCCACATATTCATCGTGCACCTTCCATGATAATGGTAGCATGAGCCAGACCATCCATACAACTTGGACGTAAAACCAGTACCACGGACGTTCCAAATTGCCGTAAATTGAGTACAATCGGGCGCTGGCCGATGGTAGTAGATATACGTATATGTGGTGCTGGCCGGTGCATAGATGCTGTACAGGGGCCAGGTGTGGTAGGTCATAACAGGCAATGTATGAACAGTTCTGGCCAGGTGGATAATACTCCGGACACTGACCCTCAGGCCTCAACTATGCCATGCGTGAGCAGTGGATGGCCGGGATTACATTCAACTAACTTGGCCATGTAGCAATGGGTCTGGCCGGCTTTGTAAAGCTGAGTCCAGCCAGCTGGCTTACACACCATCTAGGGATCCGCACGCATCAGCAAATGTTAAAAAATCCTGGGCCTCACTTATCTGTCTGAAGAGCCTGAGTTCTGCATGCTCAGTGAGATGAGTAATAGTACTGCAATTTAGGGGTAAATTCATATTGAAGCCTCGCTTTGTTCTCCGACTCCATGAAGTGAAGTTCAGAAGAGCTGACTCAGTGCGACCATCCGGAGTCCCGCTCAACGTTAACTCCCACTTGCTGAAACAATGTCAACCATTCTGAGCTCACCTGATTCAATCGACGAGACAAATATTCCATCGGACGTTTCCTTCAGTATGTGTGATTTAGTTTATGCTTCATGATGTCGACTCGTTTCATACCCACAGGAGCGCAGTCCGATGCGGAGAAGCCATCATGGCATATACAACGTTCCAATATCTCCACAAAATCCAGAGCCGCCAAATTGACTGCGACTGCGTTGGCGACCGTGTTTAACGATCGCATCCCGGTTGAGGATTACACCACGGTTGAGTATCCCTGGGATGAAAATGATTACAGCATCCTGGAGTCGGTTGCAGTAGAAATTGACGAGGGCACTTTTAACATCGAAACCCTGAAGTGGAAGACCGCGGGCGCGTTCAAAGATGGGACGAACTACATACAGCGGTTTGTCCTACCGGCATTGGCAGCTTACCTGAAAGCAAGGAAGGAGCTCGCTTTGAAGGATGGCGAGAATGCCAATGAGGTGCTGGCGCAGTTGGAGGACTCTGACCGTGCATATTTGATTAGCTTTTTAGGTGTCGACGACAAAGCGCATCCAATGTTCACTTTATTTAACTAGGTACTGATTTCCCGCTGATACATCACACTGGAGGGGCAGTCTAATGAGAGTGGTGGTATTGATACAGTAGCAACCTGATAGCAACAGTCAAATGACATTGCGATGTCCAGAACATGAAGTCAGATACAGATATTGATGTAGTGTTGCCGCCGAGGCGATTGGAGTCGAATCGAGGTGGAAATCGATACAGGTCGGACTAAGGTACGGGGAATTCTTCGACGAGCAAGCTTGCTGATCAGATCTGCAGATCTATAACTTGTTACAAAATCTCAACAACGATAATAGTCGTATACCTATCGGATGTTTCGCCTTCGTCAAGGTCTGGCCCAGCGCACTGGCCAAGAGCGCTTGGAACACACACGGATGGACAGTTCAAGAATTCCTTGGTCCCAACATCATTCTGTTCTATCAGAGGGATTGGACTCTTTATCTCAATGATCGCACTCTCAACCACAAGGATTCTGTTGCGATCATGCAGAAGTTGGAGTGCGTAACGGGCATAGATCGACGAGCCGTCATGAACTTCCGTCCCAGGATGAGAGGGGCCCGAGAGAAACTTCAGTGGGCGTCGACACGTATTACCACATTGCAAGAAGACATCGCATACACGTTATTTGGCGTTTTTGGCGTCCGCCTACATGTTAATTATGGCGAGAAGAAGCAGAATGCGCTTGGGCGGCTCCTGTAGGAAATCGTAGCTCAGTCGGGCGACATCACTGCCCTGGATTGGGTCGGAAAGTCATCAGAGTTCAATAGCTGTCTACCAGCCAATATCACTTCATACGAAGCTCCACCATGCAAACTGCCATTTCTATCCAAGGATGATATTTAGTCATCGATCTCCTCGCTGCGAGGTGTTGTGGCTCTACGGCTGGCTTCAAAATTGTATCAGATACTCGATTCCCTGAGCGCTCCCCGTTTCGCGTATCGCCGGTTGCATCTGCCTTGCATCGTATTCCCGTTCACAGAAGCCAGACGGAGACCAAGGAGACCAGGACACATATATGTATGAACTCAAGTCAGACGGACTTCATGACCTGCAGATTACCACGGAAGACAAGTTGATTCCGTTCTCGCCTGCAAAGCTGCCACCCGTTTGGCAGACGATCTTGCTTGTCCGTCCATGGAGTCGCAATCTCCTTGAGTTGCATGACCCTGCAGATGATATGCAGAGCATGGAAGACTGGTCCGTACCTGGAACTCCATTGCACGATTCACCCGCTGCACAAAACGAGCCGGTTTATTCGGATTCTCACTCGCGAGCATTGCGTTTGATGGTTCGCCTTGGACAGCCTTTTAGTGCATTTTTGCTAGCGCGGCAGCGCGACGGAGAATTCAAGAGGATCACGTCGGATCATGATATCATTGCACAGGCTAAAGACATGACTTCCGTTGACAACATGATGGACGTCAGGACACTAGAGATACTGTAGCTGTATGGAGTTGTGTAATACAGGATATATAGTCAGATTCGAGTGCTGGGATATATTCTGGAAGCTTTGAAGACAGGAGTCGGACGCATGTATGCACTACAGAGGTGCCGGGAGGGTATACTGTCGAGGACAGCAGGCATGACAATAAGGTGCATTCTCATAACGGTGATTGAGGCGTGGAAGCCTCGTGCCTGGGCGTCTATGGAAACGAGGCAGGTCGAGGCAGTGAAGCAGGATAAACTTACGCACAATACACGCACCTCTGCAGCCTAGAGCAAGACACCCGCAATTCCTCCAAAGTCCATCTCGACCGCGCCCAACGCCATCAACCTCCCGTAAAATGTCGAAGCTCATTCCGACCACTACACGGCCCCTGCGAGAGCTCAAAGGTCATGAAAGCCTGGTAAGGGCCGTCGCAGTTTTCCCTGATAAACGACGGATGATTACTGCCTCGGACAAGACGGTTCGTCTGTGGGACTTGAAGACAGGTGTTGTGTTGAAGAAGATGGAAGGGCATCGCATTGAGGTGTGCAGATTGGTAGTATCACGAGATGGACAATTGATAGCAAGCGGTGATGAAGGCGGAGAGGTCATCGTCTGGCGCGGAGAAACCGGGGAATTACTCACCCAACCCATCAAAACCCACTCCACTTATATTTCCTCGCTGGATTTTTCTCTCGATGGGACAGTGCTAGCCACTGGTTCATGGGACAGAACGACGAAGCTGTGGAATACCAAAACCTGGAAGCAACAAGGAAATCCAATCAAATTTCGTAGTGACGTCAACTGCGTACGGTATTCGCCATCTGGAAAACTTCTTGCCATTGCAACAAATTCAAATATCAAAATTTATAATTCAGCCACAAGGAAACGCGTCGCATCCTTCAAGGCTCACATAGAATCCAATCTGTCACTTGTGTGGACGCCCGATGGCACACGCCTTCTCACAGGCGGCGATGATTTCGATCACACCATACGCGAATGGGATACAACAACCTGGAAGCAGGTCGGTAATCCCTGGACGGGCCACCCTCACTATATCAATGTCATTGCCGTTAATCCTGCTGGCACACTTGTGGCATCCGCATCTGGTGACCAACATATCCGTCTCTGGCAGCTCTCAGATCGACGAACCATTGCCATATTCCAGCACTCATCTGCGGCGTTATGCGTCACTTTCTCCGTAGATGGCAAGCACATCCTCAGCGGAGGTAAAGATAGGATGATCTCGGAGTGGGCAGTACATCAGCCAAAGGCATGTTACCGTTTCTGACCATATACCATAAATCGAACATGTTTCGTGCAGATCCTAGCCATCACGACAGCCCGCAATGCATGCATAGATGGAGATTTATCTGCCGCCGAAGAACTACTCACCCAAGATATCAACACCGATGTCAACAACTATACTTCTTACGCCCATCGCTCATTCGTGATGGCGCGACAACACGACTGGGACCGCGCCCTTCAGGATGCAATCAAAGTGAGATTCACTGACCCATCATAGCCCCATTATGAAATGCTAACTCGACGGTGAGATAGTCGATCAAGATTCAGCCCTCATTGACAGGCTATATCTCCAAGGGCATTGCCCTCTGCGGAACACGCCACATTCGGGACGCGAGGGCAGCATTCGATGTTGCGTCCATGTACACAGACCAAGATCCACAAACCATCCATTTCCTGCTCTTGATCAAGGTATGCTACATTTGCCTCGCATGCCCTCCGCTTCATCCGGCACTTCAGGCCATCGCCTTCTTCAATGCAGATGAACACGACGAGGCAAACCTGCTCCTCAAAGAACTCATTATCGGCTGTCCGAAGGCTGATACTCTCGCGTGTCGTGTCGTGCAAGTAAGTATCATCCACGCTTGGCTATCGACACTCATCTTTGCAACTCGTACAATAGGCATATCTACGTGTTCAACTTGGACTCAAGGCCTCGAATGACGCACATCATGACGAAGCCGCTGACCAGTTCACTGCCGCTATCGACTCCGACGCTTTCTCATGGAAATCACCCATTCATGTTATCTACGAGGACTTGGTGGTGGTATGTTAATACACATCCTGCTTTTCATAACTGAGTCCCTAGTCCAGCTCTTCGACTGGGATCTCAAATCTTTGTGCTTGACTGCACACCAGAACCGGTGCGATGCACTCCTTCTGGCTGGTAAACTTCAAGATGCCATGAAATCATACCGAGACATGATGAACAATATTGACGAAACAACGAAGGGCAGCTGCCTTGAATGGTCCAACGGCAAGTCTGGAGTTCGTAATATCGCGCAGGCTACAATCCTCACCCACATCTCACTCAGCTTTCGTGGAAAAATGCAGCGCGCTCTTTCTTACCAGCGGAGATGCTGCCCTCGCTGCAAGCGATTACGACGGGGCTATTGATTCGTACTCGGCAACAATTTACCTAACTTCTCCACCCGACGCTGTCTTTGCAAATCGTAGTAAGGCAAAGTTGGGGAAAAGGCTTTGGATGGAAGCACTTCTCGATGCGCAGAAGGTGTGATGGCATCTACGTTCTCATAGTCCATGTTGACTTCGGCGACGCATAGGTCACCCAACTCAATCCTTCATCCCACGTTGGATACCAGTTGACACATGCAGCGCTGCATGGCGCGCAACGTTACGACGAAGCAATCGAAGCCTTCACAATCATGTTGTCCAAGTTGGACGATGCTCCCGAAGCGCAGATCCGAGGTAAGCCATGGAACACTTCTGCATCGTCTCGAAATGCCTGTCTCGTTCTACAGAGTTGCGCCAGGAGTATCTCAGTCCATCCGACGCAGAAGACGTTATTCAAAGAGCAGTCTGGATTGAACTCGAAAATGCCCCACTTCGCCTACTTCACACCTCCACGGGACTTTTGTGTGATCGAGCGGCACAGATAAACTCCTTCAAAATGAGTCAAGAGTACAGGGAGCTTTTGTCATTGACGACGAAGCATTCAGACCTCCACATGAAGCGCATCAGAGACGTAGTGGCGACGTACTTCCGCTGCGTCTTACTATCGCATAGGTGGGAAGAGACGGAAGCGCTGCTACACGACATCCAAGATCAAGTCGTGTACGAGTTGAATGAAATTGGCGGCATCGGGAAATTGCAGTCGTTCTGCAAAATTGCTCGTGATGCTGGGTATTGCTGGGCATGGATGGACACATGCTGCATCGACAAGAAGAGCAATGCCGAGCTTCAAGAATCGGTCAATTCCATGTTCGTCTGGTACCGCCACTCAGCGCTTACCATCGTCTACCTATGCGATGTTTCTCCTTCATCCCGGCCCGGTGCACTGGTGAAGAGTGTATGGAACAAGCGAGGATGGACCTTTCAAGAATTCGTCGCTCCGAAAGTTGTTATATTTTATCAAAAAGATTGGTCCTTATATCTCGGCGATCGCTCTCCCAACCACAAAGAGTCCCCTGCAATCATGAAGGAGTTGGAGGATGCGACAGGCATAGATGCACAGACCCTGATCTCCTTTCGTCCAGGGATGAACGACGCACGACGGAGACTTCAATGGGCATCATCACGTGTCACTACATTGCAAGAAGACATTGCGTACTCGTTGTTTGGTATCTTCGATGTCCACTTACCTGTAATCTATGGCGAGAAGAAGCAACACGCGCTAGGGCGGCTCTTGCAGGAGATAGTGGCTCGGTCGGGCGACATCACTGTCCTCGACTGGATCGGTCAACCTTCCGAGTTCAATAGCTGTATTCCAGCCCATATCACCTCTTACACCATTCCTCCACGCACCCTTCCATGTTTGTCCGAAGATCGTATTCACACACAGGTCTCTTCGCTGCGACAAACCATGCCTACAGATCTGGCATTGAAATTTTATGATCAGCTTGCACAGTTGAGAGCTCCTCGCTTTGCAAACTGCAGACTTCATCTGCCTTGCGTTTCATTCCGTGTCACGGAAGTCAGACGGAAGTGCGGTCTTGACAAGGAGACTGCCACCACGTATGGAATCAAGGCAGACGGGCTTCACGACCTGCTGATCACCACTGAAGATACCCTAATTCAGTTCTCGCAGGCAAGGCCCATTCGGCAGACGTTCTTACTTGTCCGCCCATGGGATCGGCATCTCCTTGGGGTACCTGACTTTGCAGGGCAGGCTGATTTCACAGATGATACAGAGAGCATAGGAGATTGGACCGAGCCCGGATCCCCCATGGACGACTCCCAGATGGACGACACTGACAAGTTACCCTGCGATTTGCCTGTTGAAGAGGAGCGTAGCTCACGAGCGTTGCGGTTGATGGTTCAGCTCGGACAGCCTTTTGACGCATTTTTGCTAGCGCAGCAGCGTATCGGAGAATATAAGAGGATGGCGTCGGACCATAACATTGTTGCCCAAGTCAAAGACATTGCTTTCATTGATAATATGGACATAGATACCGTAGAAATACTCTAGCTGTATTTTAAGGCCAGGCATCTCCGACCGGTATTCGTTTGTGCTTTGATGATCAAACCTGCGTTGTCAACATGTAGCTGCATGCGTAGATTCCCCGCACCCTTCAAAGCAGACATTGAAGGCCCATTCATTAGGTACTACCTTCTCCGTCAGCACCGTCATCCCGGGCCAAATTTCTGCGCAGATTCACGACCACCCCCTAAAGTTTGGCTCATTCAAAGGCCTCTGGATTAAATTTCAACTTCTTCCTGCGGCAATAAGTACTGGCTTCGATCAATCACAGCAAGAACGAATTCTTGTTGGACTTTTCCTAAATGACAGTGCTGGCCAATGGTTCAGACGACCATACAACCAAGCTTAACAGCGGAGTAAGTGGGTACTCCGCAGAGCAGGAGTTTTCATTCGTTGTATTCGAAGTATTTGTGTGGTGCTTATCGGACTGGTCTTTTCGGTCCTTCCTGTTCTTATTCGATAGGCATGACTCTGATGGTACGACCGATAATAGACAAGTTTTCCCAAATCACCGTTGAGAACTGTGCGGGCGACACGACAGCCGGGATAGTTAATATGGAGGTACAACAACAGCTAGACCTACCTTACTGACAGCCTGGGATGTGGTGGATGAGTAACAGAAGTAATAAGCCAGATC